GCCCACTGATGCTGGCATCCACCTCAGCAGCAACTCCAGCAAGAATCTATAAAAGAAAGGCACTAACTCCCTATCTGTTCACTATTCTATGGGCCTTAAGTATTTAAGTCCAGCAAGACTTGTCTAAGTAAGTTACATGCTATACATTCACTCCTTTTGCACTGTTTACTGTGGAAACAATGCAAATTTCACAATGCATAGTGTGAGTAGCATTGCTACAAATAGAAAAAATATAATACAAGTAGTCTGCCGACGCTGGCTTGGTCGGGCATGTGACCGTGACTGTAGCGGTCCTTCCAGAGTCTTTGCTGCTCATAGCAGAGACAGGGGAGCTAGCTTTTGCCACAACATGGCCAATCACAACTATGACACACAATGCATTCAACTTTCTTTTTATTTATTTTTTTATTAAAACATACTATTACTGCTACTACACTGAACACACAAAAAAATAATGTTAAACAATGTTGAACCTAGCTTGTAAGCAGGTAGCTTATGTACTGCCCTGTCTTTTGTTGTTGTTTTATTACAGTTTTTCAGCTCTAATTGCAGCCTGTTGTTGTAGTGCTTCTTATTTCATTGGAGTTTTAGACCCAGTCTGTCTGCATTTATTTTTATTTTGTGAATTAAATTGAAGGGTAGCTCAGTTGTTAGAACTGCCCTTGGTTTTAATCCACTGACAGGCCGAACTGATGAATGGAAATAAAATAAATGGGTGTGAATTTAACCAGGTTGTGGACCGTGACGTAAAGTATAATGGAAAAGCTAGACCAGTTGGGAACGACTGCTGGAGCGGGGCAGGAGAAGAAGAAGAAGAGCTGCCACGGGAGCAGGGATTTACAAGCAGGGAATGAGTGAAATATATATCACTTATTGATATTCTCTCTCTCTCTCTCTCTCTCTCTCTCTCTCTCTAGATAGATAGATAGATAGATAGAGATATGAAATAGTTAAACTACAGTGAAAAGTAAAAAACAGACTAGTAAGTAACATCTGTAGTTGGGCCAACATTGTATTGGAATACAACATGACTGTTTTTCTGAGGGAGAATTTTTTTTATTGGAGGATGCTGAAAAAAGAACAGCCGCGTGAAGCGTTGCGATGAGCTCACCTAGCCACCACCTCTGTGGGGCAGTTTTTAGACTGTGGTCTAACTTTCCTTGTCTCATGTGGCAATACATGTTTACTGTGTATGCTTGTGTAAAGAACAAACATTCTGGCTGAAGAAAGACTTTGAAGAGCAGGTGTAAGCGGGGTAAATGACACAAAGGCTTTCAGGAGAAGAAGCCGATTGCTTTTTGACAATTCTGCCGATGTTTTCAGCAATCTTCTAAATCAACATCAGTGACATCTTTGCCTTGCTATGGTTCTCATCTACTGTCACGAACATGAGCAAACTGACAGAACACTTGCATTGCTATTAGCTAAAGATGTGAAGAGCATTACTGCTCAATGCTCACCAGTAAATGTTAGCTGTCTGAGAGCCTCGTCTTAGCTCCTGTATGAGCTGACCTGCAGATGTGTCAAAAATTCTAATAAGAGTCCCCTGTGGAAACACAACATAGATTCGTCAGTAAGTCAGCAATAACAGAAACAAATTACACAACAACTGAATAGGGGAAGTGTTCCAACATCCAACATTTCTGTCAGTTTACGACAGCCCTAGCGCAGCTTACTTTCTCTGATGCAGTAGCAATTCTTGTGCCCTGCAGATTTAGAGCGATGCAGCACAGCGCCCCTTCATGGGCGGGGATATCAACTGGGGGCTTCTCTGTGTTGGCCAGGTCCACTATCTGCACATGGCCTGAGTGTGTTCCAGGGAATGCCAACAGAGAGTTGTTGCTATTGGGACACAGCACACACAGACCTGAGGAGAACAAGGGAAAAGGTTGGTTATGATATGGACACGAACTATTTGGATTTCACTGTTCCAGTGCTTTGTTTAAACCGTGTTACGTCTTGCATTAACTGCAAAGCTTTGGAAATTTTGGGACTAGATTTGACTACAACTTCAAAGAAAGTGTGGGTTCAAATGATGCTTCACTACGGAGTACAAGTTCGCTGAACACGCCAAAGAGTGTGTGGTTCAAGAGGATTGGTATGTGTAGAACCGGCTGATTAAAAGTCCTTTAGGAGTTTAAACAGTGTAGTACTAACCTTTGGGGTTGTAACAGGTTTCAAACACATGCAGCTGATGGGGGTTGTGGGTAAAGGTGAAGACTTTGATCATTGAGTCCAGGACCACCACAATCCTGAGAACAAAGGTGAACCAGCACAGAGACAAAAACTTGAACTAAATGTCCCAAATAAATCTACTCAAATAGCATTCACACACTAATCTGACACTTTCAGTTAGAAAACCAGAGGCCACTCGACTGACAATGAATGGGAGAATCAAGCCGAGATATTAAGATAACCAGCAGCATATTAGTATGGCTGCACTGTCACAGTCCCTGTCACATTGCCACAGTACTGCTGTGTGATTAATTTGAGAAACATTTTGAAGGAGTGATGTATGAAATCTAAACACTATGGTTGTGCCTGAAGAGGAACCGCCCATCTGCTCACTAATGCATTGCACAACACTTATTTTGCAACTGTCACAAATGATTAAATAAATTCAAGACACTCCCTGGACACTTGACAGCTTTACAAAGTAGTTTTAACTCCATTTGAGCTTAGTGGGGGGACCTTTTCTTTTTTACCTGTCACGCCGAAGCTTCACTGCTTTGACTTCTGTTGAGAACTCAATCTCAATAACGGTCTTCTTCTTCAGGTCATCCCAGATCATCACTAGAGTACAAAAAGAAAAACTTAAAGTACTTAGCTTAATATCTGTTTCATTGTTATAACAGCCTACAAAAGTATGAGAGTATGATGGGAAAAAGGAACTACAAGCCATCGTTTGTCGTCTGGCATAAGTCCAGTACTGACAACACTGCTGATGCTAAAAAAAGAAGCAGCAATACAGTATATCAACATTGCTAACATAATTAGACAAAAAATACCTTTGTTGGTTGGGTACTTGGGTTTCTTTCCTCCTCCCACTAGTGCTAAATAGTTACACCTGAACAGCATCTCCACGTGGCCAACCCCGCCCTCCATGAACTCTGAAAGTCAACATTGTTGGTAGTGAACACATCAATAATAACAGTAACTGTTAATTACTCTAAGAAAGGAATGCAGCCCTTATCACCAGAACTATCTGTCAACTCTGCTCCAAACAACATTTGCACAGTGCTTCTAATCACTAATGCTTACTCATCCCTCCATATTGCATGGAGAGAAGTGCAGTAAAACCTGTCATCAAAGAACTGCTCATGGATTAGCACAGAAAGAAAGGACAAAAGACCCCACTTGGTCCTATGAATGAGTACTTGGGCTGCTCCTGGCCTACCGCAGTTTAATCCGATGAGTTAAGAGAGGTAACTCTGGAGCAGGTCATGTGCCGAGTCACATTTTCGGGCCTCTTTAGGGGAAACTTCCTCTTATATCCCTCCATATTTAAGAACTTACAATTCTGTCACAATGCTTTGTTGCTGTGTGCAGCAGAATTGGCTCGTTTACTTTTTTTTTTCTGCAGTCATAAGCCAAAAAGCTTTGAACAAGGACAGTTCCCATAATACATTTTCTGTTCACACGTACATACGCACAAGTAAATTATTCGAATCATACAATAAAACAACGGTCAGAGTCTGTGCATTGACATATGTGCCATTTATTTTGGTTATTTATTTTTATTATTGACAATATGCCAACATTTGAATGCCTGAACTGTTACAGTAAGGATTATAGCCAATAAGCTGTTTGGATGTTTACATTTTTTAAAAATAAATGGCAACCTTTAATTTGTTGTTTTGCTGTACTACAAACATACCGAACCGTGACCCCAAAACAGAGGTAAATACTGTGAATTTTGTGTACTGTTACAAATTGTTATTCTATTTTCTACCACTAGCCAAGCCCAATAAAGGGATTCTCATGTACTGACAGAAACTATGCACCACCTAAATTATTTCTATTTTGTATGTGCTGTGCCTTACTATGGATTGCAAATGTGACTGACAAATCCAGCCGATTAACCACACATTTTCTTTTCTCAAAAGTTTACTTTTTTAACAAGTACACTGCCTTAAAGTATCAATATGTTGCAACTTGGCAGACTGCCAGGTTACAGGTATACACCCTATAAACAAAATATGTCCAACATGACCGATTCTTTCCTACCAGTTATAGACGATCATTTCTACAAAGCTTCTTACCTTGTTTCTCCTTCTCCTTAAGCGGATCTGTGTTGTAAACACGAAATCCATTCTCCATTCCACAGGCAAAGCATCCTGAAGAGACATAGAAAGATGAAAAAGCTATTAGAAAATAACTAAAGATCCCATTATCACAGGATTTTCACAAATATAATTTAAATGGAATGGTTGTAACACCCTCAACCTTTACAGTAATGACAACCCACAACATAAAGGACCCTGGGCAGCTAATTTAAACTGGACCAACTGTCATAGTATGGTGATATGGCAGAATTCAAATAAAAGTGGCCTACTGTATGTTGACGAATGATGACAATGATATCAAGCCATAGCAAGTTCTTTAAGGGGTCATATGAGGTCTTTGGACACCTCAACTTTATGAGATTACAATACCATCAGTTCTGACAGAGCTAACGTTAGTTGGTCTCAACAATTTCAATAAATCAATGTTAAGTTAGACCAATTAAGACGACTACTTTAACTTTCAGGCCTGTGTAAATATGTGTGGGCGGGGAGCGAATAAAATGTGAACAGTGCTGAGTTGTACTATGTAGCTACATGATAATAAAGAAGAAATGTCTTCACTTATTAAAACTGGCAAACCAATAAAAGACTAGGCTCATTTTGGAAGTAACTAGCATAACATTAGCACAGTGACGCTGTAATAACTATCAAACTTAGCATAGCAAGCTGTTCACTAGCTAACGCTAATGTTTTCCCCGTTGTCGGTCGGGATGCTAACAGTAACGTTAGCTTATAAGTTCAGTTCGCTTACACCAGTAGCTTTCTATACGCTATTCTTACTTGAGTACATAAACTTAAACGACATGTTTATGTCTAACTTTACAAATATTGTTATGCCGATCCAACATAAGCTGGTTAATTGACTAATATGTTGGCTTAAAACAAAAACACAAAACTACGTTAGCTGGCTAAAAGGCGTAGCTAGCTAACATTATTTTAACGTTCGCGGCTTTAAATGAACGTTTCTGAAAGGCGCAGCAGTATTATCGCTAAACAATTTCAAGCACAGCAATGTAAAGCTACTAATGTTAGATAACGTTATGGTTAATTTATCCTCTGGGAAGACATCGGTTTAGCAATGTTAGCTTAGCATTCACGACGCTGCCAATTTCCATTTCGGAGAAAAACAATATATGACAGCGCCGCTTCTTACCGTGATCCTGGTTAAATCCAGCATAAAGGAGCCCATTCCCGTGAGGATTCGACGGTAGTAAATTCATTATTTTAACAAAACAACCGAATGTCAAATAACGTTAATAAGTTAATCTTCTGCTAGCTACTGCTGCTGTCTGAAGAGCTAACCGGCTACCATTCCTCCTGAGTCCGCTAGCGTTAGGCAGAAAGAAGGAAAACAACTGAAGCTGGTTCCTGCTGGAGAGAGCTGTCACACCAGCCAAGATCAAACGGAGCATTCAGTGAACTTCGGTAACGTATTTGAACAAATATTTAACACTGAAATTATTACACGAGTAACTTATCTTCATCAAGTTACGTTAAAAGTAAACGTAACGTTATATCAACGCCCGTGAGACGAGCACTCATCAAAGAAGGGTTTTAACCGCAGGCTACGACTACGGTAACGTTAACGTTAGCCGTTGGTGATGATCTGGACAGTGAATTATGTTTTTTCCTCATGCTAAATATATGCACAAACAAAGATGATCTGGTGTTTTATCTGTGTAACGTTAATTTAAGGTTTTGCTGGATTAAGTGGGAGTTTGAATTCGCCCGCGTTTAAAAAACAAAAACATTCAAGTGAAAAAAATCTGATAGAGCCGAATGTATTTTATGATGTGGCATGCCAGCGTCGCAGACATACAGTCGATGTGGGACATGTGAGGGGTGGATATCGAACACGGATAACGTAGTGTACTCTTATAGAGTAAACAGAGTGTACATTGGTATGTAGCCCCAGTGGCCTAATGGATAAGGCACTGGCCTCCTAAGCCAGGGATTGTGGGTTCGAGTCCCATCTGGGGTGGGCAATTTTTTTATTTCGTTTTTAGTGAGACAACGCTGCTGAGTGATTGGAGAGATTAACCTTTACTGACAACGAAATGCACCTTTGCATTAACTACAAGTGCAAAATGCTGTAAAGTACATATTTAGAGTAGTAAAATAAAAGTAACTGAGCCCGTATATATAGGTCAGATATGTACAGAATAAACAGTAGTAGAAATATGAATACAATATAGGGCAAATATGTACTGTATGGTCAGTAGTATACGGTAACTAATTTCATTAATTTGCTGTGCAAATAAAAATCAGTCACAAAATAATGTTTATGAGGATCATGTATACATTCAATTGGGAAATAGCAACATTTCAAGTATTATACAGTCAATTAGGCTGCTCATTTATTTGTCATTCTCTCAATTGAATGACTAATATACAGTGAAGTTCTGTAATGAAGTGTGAGGGCCCATGTGGGGTGCTGTACTGTCTGTATTTTCAAAAACCATTTCCTTCATTTGTATGACACTAAACAAACTTGGAACTGTTCTTTATAAATCCTCAAAATAGCTGGATGATATAGCTGACATAGCAAAATAGCTGACCAGAGGATAGAGAGCTTCCTTAGATGGTGTAACAAGAGCTGAAGGTGGACTACCGGAGAAACAGGTTATCATCCAGGTAGAGAAGTGTAGAGATCAACACTAAAAAAAAAATTAAATACAACACTGATGCGCTCTTTAGGAAGGGACACCGCATACTGTTCTTCCTGAGGAGACTCTACCTAATAACAGTAATGAATGCATCATAGTATCATAGAAAGCAAATGCCTGCACCAGCACCCCTCAATTATCAAACCTAATGTAATGCAGCCATTATTAATGTAATTCATTACACGTATGCTTTTCACTTATGGCCCAAACCAATTAAGCGCCATCTATTGGTTGAGTAGGTTTGCAGATAATTTAGTTACCAGTTTTAATTTGGTCATTGACACTAAATAGCTGCACCTTCAGACCAAAAGCCAAATAATTGTAATTCCTGTAAAACAGTATCTATTTATTGGTTCCCACCTTATGTAGGAACAACTTCTGAATGCTCCCCCCCTGCATTAAATCCAGTCCAGAATTACATCAACCCAAAATGAGAAACCCAAATGCTTTGAGTAAATCAACTCACACTTGAAATCAAATGTTAAATTTATTCAAGAAAAAGAAATCAATTCCCTAAGGAACGAAGGTTTATATTCATTTACACATACACATCTTTTTTAGAGCTACCGCAAACCTTTCTGTAAAAAATACAAAGTTACATTTTTATAATGCATTATCCAACAAACAGTTCCTAAAAATCCAAGCTGTGACAGGCACATGGATGACAATGTGGCTGCCATTTTAAGGAAATGTCCTTCAACTGGAAAACCTGGTTTTAATTCCCCATCTCAGTCAGCACCCAGGCTTCTGAAGTGTCCTTGAGCAAGGTCAGCTGCTCAACAGTTCATCGGTTTCGGATCTACGGCTGATGCTGACCTCTTTCGCTAGGGGAATGTTAAACAGAGCATCCCTTTTGGAATTAGTATCATGGTAACATTAACTACGCGTGAACAAGTCTCCTATGTCTTTTTAGGCCATGCAAGCTCGAAAAGCCCTTGTTACACACGGCACAAACATATGGTCTCTCGCCTGTATGGGTTCGCATGTGTAAGGTTAGAAAGCAGGACTGGACAAAACCTTTTTCACAGACGTTGCACTTAAATGGTCTTTCTCCAGTATGGTATCTCCTGTGGATCTTTAATTCTGCAGCGGATCTGAAAGACTTGTCGCAGTCGTCGCACTTGAAAGGCCTTTCCCCGGTGTGAATCAGCGTATGCCTCACCAAAGCGTCCTTGCCGAAGAATCCCTTGCCGCAGTGCTCGCAGGGGAAACGCAGCCCTTTGTGGTGAAATTGTCATGTTTCAGAAGGCATCTTCTGGAAGTGAAGGTTTTCCCGCACTGAGCGCAGGTGAAGGTCGGCGTGGGTTTCTCGGTTACGGGTTCGCCGGAGTGATGCACGCGCTCCACGTGGCGCGTCAGGGTAACGCCGTGCCTGAATTTCTTGCCGCATTCCCAGCAGAGGAAGGGATACGCCTTAGTGTGTTTTTTCTGGTGCTCCACGAGGTCAGAGTACGATCTGAACCTTTTGCTGCAGTGAGGGCACTGAAATGGTTGGTAGCCGGTGTGTTTCCACTCGTGTCTGATGAAACGCTTCAAACTGGCAAACGTCGTCTGACAGTGGGTGCAGGTGAAAGGCTCAGTGGGGTTGTGGACGTCGAGGTAGTGCTTGTGAAGGGCCTTGAACACAGGGAAATTCTCCTCACACTGGTTACACTGAAATGGAGTGTGGGACTCTTTGTGCATTGCCAATGCCTCCGAGTCGCGCACCAGTTTCATGCACACCTCGCAGTAGAGCGGGTTGTGAGTTTGTTTATGGGAGTCCAATGTTGATTTGTACTTGAAGGCCTTGTCGCATTCATCGCACCTGAAACAATGCTTAACATCCTCAGGCTTCTCAGGATCCACCTGTTGCTCGTTGTAGCAAATGTTTCTTAAATGGAACCTAAAAGTTTGTTTGCACTTAAACTCGACGCTGCAGTGAGGACAGTAGAACGGCCCTTCGATCACACTTTTGCTTCCCTCGGGGCTTTTCTGTTCCGATTCTTTGCAGGATCTCTCTGCAGAGGGTGAGTAATCAGGGTCCTGGGCGGTGCCGTCTGACGGCTGCTCTTCACTGGTCGCCTCACAGGGAAGCCCACTGGAGGATTGTTCGCCCTCGTCTGCTGCATTCTCCGGTTCCTTTGCTTTCCTGCCAGCCTTTGCTTTTGGAAGACTTGGACATTTGTGTTGCTGCAAGTACCGCAAGCTCTTATAAAACCGTTTACAGGCAGGACAAGAATAGGGCAGCTCCTCTGAATGTCGATTCATGTGACGCTCTAAGAACTTGGCACGACTCACCACCTTGCCGCACACTTTGCACGTTCTTTCGTCCAGGTCATTGCTTTTGGTGGAACCTTGGGATCTGGTCATCTTTTTCGGGCTACTGTTAGTGCTATTACTGCCCTGTGTCTTTCCTGATTTTCTCCACTGCGACAGGTAGCGTTTCATCTTGAGTCCGCGGTTCTTTCTCACTGGCCTTTCCCACAAGACGTCATATTCTGGATCTTCTTTGTTGCCCCTCGCTCTGCCTTGCACTTCGTAGTCTTCATCCGCGGGACGTTTCTTTTTCCTCCCGCGTCTGTTTGGCTTCTTCTCCACGCCGTCAAGCACCGTCACCTGGCCGTCCTCCCCGATCATCAGTGTTCCGGATTGGTCGTCATGGTGTTCGTCTGCCATCTCACTCTCGCTGGCCTCAGCGCCTTCAATGGGATCCGCGACCACCTCAGGGTCCGTCTCTGCTTTCACCTCGCTGCTAAGACCAAACCACTGGGTTTGAACGCACTCTTCCGAATTCCCGCTGCCCTCCACGTAAACCTCTTTGTTCTCAGATTCCACCTCCATCTCTGTGCAGACTGTGTACACGAGTCCGCTCTCTGCATCCGTTTCTGTTTGTTCATTAACGATGACGACTCTTTCCACAGGAGGGAGGCACAGGGCCGACAAGATACCACTGTCAACAATGTAGGAATCTGAAAAGAAAGGAGATCACATGGACTGTTAAACTGAAAAGTGAAACAGATTCAGATTAAAAAGGCACTATGTAACGTGTTCAGAGCGGTTCTGAATGTTTTTTTTATGAAAATGCAACTACTGAAAAATCAGAGTGAAAACCGTGCAACAGTGTGTTGAATATGTAGGATATTCTGTGAAAAAGTCATACAAATTCTGAGAAGCTCACCCATGTCATCTAACTGGCTGAGGTCTTTCTGAGTGTCCATCAGTGTTTTGAGCTCCTGAGGTTGAGCGAACGCCTCCATGCATTCATTCAGAACGGACGAGGCATCGCTGAGCAGAGACGCAATCTGATGAAGACAAAATGAAAACTAATGTGAGGTAACTTTTTATGTACATATGAAGTAAACATTTTAAGAGTTTTACACTGCAGACAATCATCATATAGATAGATAGATAGACAAAAGCACCCTAATTAAACAGAGACTGACGTTCAGTGCAGCAAAAAGTCAGTACAAAAGTAGAAATACACTGTGAATTCATTTTAAAGTCTACCTGTTGGAGAGTTTGGGTGGGAAGAAGTTTTTCAAGTCTGGACAGAAACAGCCACATCAGTGTCTGGATTGCTTTGTCATACGTGGGACCAAAGTCTCCTGGGAAAACATCCTGGAGCACAAGGAAATTCATAATTGTCAAATGCAGGACAAACAAAATCACATCATAAAACAAGAGTTCCCAGCGAAATTAAACGCGTATACAACCTAGACTAACCTGGAAAAAGTTTCTTCTCTCTTCAGGATCTCTCAGCAGGTTTTGGACAAGGCCCATGAAATGTGAGTCAGATACTTCTTGTTCTGCATTTTCAGTCTGCAACAAAAGATGGTTTAAAATGGCATGTTACTTCAGAGCATTATAATGTCGACATCTGTGCCCTGGAAGATTTTAAATACTTTTAGAATAATAATGTGACGTAAAATGCATTAGGGCTGCAAATAATGACTATTTTCGGAATGTTACCGTTAAGTGAACGAGGTTTACTATTCAGAACACTAGTATCAACGCCAGGGGGAAACCAGGGAAGAAGACAAGACAGCGTAGGCTCCTCCTATAATTCACTGATTTATACAAACTTTAACAGTTTAAGATTTTTGGTTTGGAACTACATAAAATAAAAGCAAATTAAGCAAGTACTAAAACCACAACTGTACACTAACAAAGTAATGTCTATTTAGAACAATAAAGCAACAGCCCCTTTCAAAAGTGCTTATAGGTTTTAGGCAATAACTCCTTGGAGAATGTTCTGTAGGCTACATCACGAGCCAGATGTTCCTTGATGTACTTTAAATCATTACTAATAACTTTTTTAAAGCTGAGTCTGACATCGCCATCGTTGTGTTGGACAGATTTGTGCTGCGGCGTTTATGAGGGAGAGAGAGAGAGAGACAAGCGAGAGGATGATTTTAAATTGGCCTATTAAAAAAAACAAACAAACAAAACTAAAATAAGTATGTGGCGTTCAGCGTTGCCCCCAGCACTTCCTGTAGTGCATTTCAGTTAAAAATAAACAGCTAGAAATGTTCCTAATATGAAGATTGCTCTCTCTCCCTTAAACTGCATCTATGTAACGATGTGTCGATAATGAAATTTTACAGCGAGAAATTGTTGTAGTCGACGTCGACTAATCGCTGCAGCTCTAATGTACTGAAATATGGAAAAAAACTAAAACACACATCCAAAAGTGAAAAGGCGCACCTTAAAAAGCCACTGCAGATATTTCATTGTGGACTACAGGTTTAGACTCACCTCCACGTTCCACAGAGATCTGAGGTTCTGCATTCGGTCAAGATGCGGCTGAATAATGTGGAGGTCAGCTGTGTCCTCAGAGCGACACAACTCCAGGATCAGCTACAATCAGAGAAAAGCAGCAATAATGAACATTTTTATTTTTTTATATTGTCAGTTGTATTATTTTTCTCTATTCTGTTATTCTTATATAACTTGCATTTGTTTATTACATATTTATATATTTCTACATTTATTTATGTCAGCTGTATGTCTGTCTGCATGTAGCACCTTAACGCCAAAGCAAATTCCTTGTATGTGTAAAACACTACTTGGCAATAAAGCTCCTTCTGATTCTGAATGACGCTGAGGACAAAAATAACCATCTACAAAGTACCAAAGGTAAGGCACACGGTTTAGATTAATGAAATGGCACGACGACTGGAAGCGTTTTACACGTAACATCTGATTGCTGCAGTTATTTACAGCTCCGGTGCATCGCCTTTCCTCACATTAAAGCAAAACAGCAGATCTGTGACGACGTCTTGTAGGACACAGGCAGGGCTGTTACCAATGTCTTTTATCCCCACCGCTTCTATTAAGGTTTTCGACTGAAGCTTTAAATGTCTGTCATCATATTTTATGACAACACCCTAAAAGCAAAGTTCAATCTGAAAAAAAGTAATTACTGGGATTAAAATATTATTGTTTGTTTCTTTGTTATGTCCAGTCTCCTTAACACTTTTGTCAACATAAATACATGTAGGCAGTAGTACATTCCCACAATCTGAACAGGACGGTGCAGTAACCTGGGTAACAATGTCACAAACTACTAGAGCCAAAATAGGTTTTTTGTTACTGTGGTTATACAAAAGGTAATTTAGTGTGCTGTCAGATTGCTGCTAGACTGCCCAGGTAATTTGTTTGTGGGACAGCTAACTGTTTTTCTGACCGCAGTGAAAATGGGTTTGAAGCTAAACGCCAGCAAACACGGGTTGAAGCAGAATATGTCATTAGAGAAAAACATATTTCTGTTTTTTTGTAACAAATGAAGAGTATGGACGAGAAGGAGAATGTGTGGCAGACAGTTCAATAATATTTCAAAATTAAGTGTGGTCCATCCACTTAAAGTAATCAATCACACAGAATAGCAATCTTCACCTGCAGTAAGTCACCTGACTTTTGAGACTTAGAAATTAGAATTGTTATTTAAAATGTTCTAATCTGTCAGCCTTATGGTGCTCATATTTGGTTGATTATACAGTTCAAGTACAAGTACTTCAAATGTTCCTCACCCGTGCTCTGAGACCCAAAATGAGTTCCGCCCGCTGCCTCGTGGAGAGAAGTTGAGGAACAATGTCCGTAACCATGAAAACAAACTCCTCGAGCAGCCCATAATCGGACACGATTTTCTGCTCCACCGTCTGCCAAATGGCTGCAGAGACGAGCCGAATTGGTGGGATCAAGAGGCGCAGAGTGGAGAGGGGAAGAGAGGGACCTGCAGGCGGAAACAGATTTTGTAAAAATTGACAGTAACATGTTTTGTAGATTAAGAATACACTATTATACATCAGACAGCATCGCTAGCTACTTGCTGTGAAGCTTCAATTAAAAAGAGCAAACCTAGTCCCAATTAGACACTTAACATTTATACTGACCTGGTGAGGCTACATGTTTTGACAAATAAACGCAGGTCTCAATTTGAAGCCTGTAGCCTGAAGCAAGTTATGTCTGGTGCACTTGACACGGAAAGTCGAAATATCAGAGTCCAAGTCGGAAATTTCAACTGGAACGCCCAAACCTCAAAATTCAAGATGTCTGCTCCCAGAATCAACAGTAGTGAAAGCTGCTGTTTATCGCACTTCGGTCTCATTTGTGCAGCTGTCCTGTCCAATTTATATCTGTAGACATTTTGCTAACAATGGCCAGAGACATCACATCTTGTTTCCCCAACTTAAATCTATTGTTGTACTGGTATGCTGTCAACTCAGGTGATATGTCACCCCCAACATCAACCCCTGATGTAAATGGAACTCACCATAAGCTGCATCGTGCATACAAATATAAAAGTTAAAACTTTTGAATATGGACGTGCTACACATTGCAAGATGCTAGTTTATTTTAAACAGGAGTGATGTAAAAAAACAAATAGGAATAAAAAAAAAGAAAGTACACAAGTAATAATCATACTGGTTGAAATATTTGAAAGTAATCTATTTTCCATCTTTCCAGATCAAGAATTTTGTGCAAAAGGAATTAAAGGCCTGCAACAAACATAGAAAAGCTGAGTTCAGGGATTTAAGCAAATAAAAGCCTGCGCTTTTAACTGAAGCTTTACTGCATTTATTCAAATGTCATTTTCTAATTCTGTGAGCATCATGGTGACGCAGATGAAATAACACCAGCGGTAACTGCATTTGAAATAGGCGTCTTATTTGTTATGTTCACATAAAGAATCAGTTTCCCCAGCTTTTATGCCGATAATATTAAATGCAACAAATACACCCCTATTATCGCCCACATCTATATAATTAATGTCTAGCATCTTGGTTGATTATCGATTTAGGGTGCGCCAATCATAAATCTATTTACCGATGACGAAGCGGTAGTTTCAGGTAACGTTATGCAGAAACTCTTAACATACCAAACACCGGCTGAGGAGGATGTGTCATTTCATGCTATTAAGTTACATGCGAATTACATTAACTTGCATCATAAAAACAGGCACATAGCATTCGTAGGCATATTTAACACCCACCGTTCAAATATAACGTTAGTTGTTCAGACCATTGTTAACAGGTCGTCGCTGTTAACTCGAAATCAGCAGCCGGTAAAATTTATTTTCCCACAGCTAGTTTAGCTAGCGTTAGCTAAGGTAGCACAACCTAACGTTGTCTAGCATTAACACGTACCCTGGGACGTAATGTATAAGAGTTAGATAATGCCGTTAACCCAGCAACTTGTTTCCACTGCATGGTGAAGGAATAGACACCAGTGGCCGTCTCGATTCGATTTAAATGCGTATCATAGTAAGTTATCTCAAGAAACTATTATTTACTATTATATTTCCTGACAAAGTTAGCCATTCCCGCGCGCGGGCTGCGTTGCGGCCTAGCCAAACAAATCTGTCCGAAGCTGTTTCTACTCACCAGCTAACTCGGAAATATCTCCGTCCATCCTGTGAGTTCACTGCAGTTACATTACAGTTAGGGGAAACTATTTCAGTCAGTCGACCGAAGTCAAACAAAATGTTTACGCTGGTTGTGTCCACACAGACCGAAGTCTCACACAGTCGATCTTTGTGCGTCAACGGTTACCTTGCGTTCCGTCCGGAATAACAATCCGACGAGAGGCAGCGGGGTTTCATAAGTTCCGCATCTTCGTTTTTGGTTTTCCTCGTTGTCTCTCTACCCCGGTCACATCATGCACAGTATTTAAATGCTATATTTAAATAAAATAATGTTATTTTTAGTTTTACACCCAAACTTCTTAAGTCTGGTGGTCACATTTACCCCTAATCCTGATCACCCAAGCTTCGGTTCTGCTCTACTTTATAAAAAGAAATCATGTATGGTGTCACTGACTAAAAACCATTAAACATTTATCTTTTACTGTATTGTATTTTAAACACATAAACAACAAAACATTAATTTAAAAAAGGAAGACGCACATTTTGTGTCAAGGAAAAAATAATATATATGCCAAAAGACTAAAATAAGTCCATCTTAAACTGTCAGCATGTGGATGGTGCTTAAACAAATTTTCAAACTATGAAACAACAGATGGAAAGTAAGCAGATAAAGTCTCTATTAACAAATTTTATTAATGCAATCCCCCCACTTTTTGGGGTTATGGCCTTCAAATGTTTTATGCAAAACCTAATTAGGCTGATACAAATTCCCAAATAATGTAATCTACTGTTACAATTTATCTTCATATGACATAAAGTTTGGCAATATTTTTGAGAGCAGAAAATGTTGAAATACATCCCCACCTGGATTTTTTCACATTTTATTTTCTTCGCAATCAGCATTGTGGATGCATTTAGCTTTTTTTTTTTAAACCACAGATAATTAGATGAAAATACTTTTGTCTATGAAAGCAAATCAAACTGTTAAAAATGAATTACAAAAAATAAAACACAGACCACAGTTTGCTTTAGCTAGCATTTTTGTTTTTTATTTTGATATTAAAAGCATATTTTCCAGTGATCACTGTCAACAATTACAAATTACAGTCAATATCCTGGAGCACCTAGTCGAATGGTTACTGCTACAGACACATGACTGCATTGTCGCTGGTTCAAGTTAAGCTAGAAATCTGTGTTGCATGTCATTCCCCCCGAGCAATCATTACTTCTGAACCCTTATGTTGTGTACACAAACCTGTTACACAACTTCTGTGGGTTTAAAAAGTGGTTCTCTACTTGTGACATTGTGGCATGCCGCTGTTTAACTGAGCACTCCTCGCATGCAGTGTTAATGTGTTACAAAAGTATGTACAAGTTTTTTGTGCCTATGCATGCTGTATATCTTGGGGAAAGCCTTGCCACAAATATGGCAAACAAATGGCTTCTCTCCCGAGTGTATTTTAGCATGGACGTTGAGATAACACATCTTTACAAAGCCCTTCCCACAGACATTACATTTATAAGGTCTCTCTGTAGTATGGTGTATAAGGACATGCCGCTTCACTTCAGAAGTTGACCTGAAGTACCTGTCACATTCGGGCACGGTGCATTTGAAAGGTCTCTCTCCCGAATGAATTAAATTATGTCTCGCGAGTGCTGACGCCGACATCATCTTTCCACAGTATGAGCACGGATGACGGAACAATTCTCTTAAGTGGTTTTTCCTCTGGTGTTTTCTCAGAGCTCCTTTCTCTTTAAAAGATTTCCCACACTCGGAGCAAGAGTGCTTCTTCTCATTCCGAGACTCGCTGTGGAGAAAATTAAAGTGCCGCATGAGGTTGGACTTTTGGGCGAAAGTCCTGCCGCACTCCGCACACAGGTAGGGTTTCTCTCCCGTGTGGACTCTCTCATGGGAGAGGAGATCTGAGTCAGTGTTGAACCTCAAGCCGCAATGAGCGCACTGAAAAGGCATACGGCCCGTATGTTTCCACTCATGTGCGATAAAAATGCGCAGCCTGGACAGAGTTCTGGGACAATGGTTGCATTTAAACGGCCTGCTGATTTTATGGACATTTTTGTAATGACTAAGCAACGGCTTAAAAAGAGGGAAGGACTGCTCACAGCGGTTACACTGAAACAGCGTGTGTGAAGCCTTGTGCCTTGCCAACGTTGCTGCGTCCCGCAAAACCTTCCGACACACACCGCAGTAGAGTTCGTTGTGGGTCAACTTGTGCATTCTCAGTGAAACTTTGTACCTGAACGCCTCGTCGCATTGGTCACATTTGTAAAGACTCTTGGCTTCCTCCGGCTTCTCCGGATCTACCTGCTGCGTGCTGTACTCAAAGCAGGTTCTACTCATATGCAGCCTAAAAGATGAGATGAATTTAAACCTGGTGTCACACCGAGGGCAGGCGTATTCACTAGTGGGAAAGTGGGTTTTCATGTGCGTTCTCAGGCTTGTACTCAAATGCTCCTTGCAGAAAAAGCATTGGACTTTACGAGTCTTCTTCGAAGTGCTTGCTTTGATGTCGGAGGTGCCCTGCTTTCTGTCTGAAAACATTTGAGGACCCACGAAGGAAGGGTCCTCATCTGAGCAGCTAGACAATGAATCATCTCGAGTATAACTACTAACAGGAGCCACAAAGGAACGCTCGTCATCTGAGTAATCAGACCATGAATCAGCGACACTTGGACTTGTGTTACGGCAAGAGTCCTCATTTGAGTAGTAAGACCATGAGTCGTCTTCACTGCAGTCATTGACAGGAGCCATATATGAGTCTTTGCTGAAGCTGCTTGAACAGTCGTCGTCTGAGTCATCTGAAAGAGCCCTATCGGAGTCTTTTCTTGTCCTAGAAGCTGATTTGTAGGCAGGGAGGGTCTCTTCACGGAGACCCCTTTTCTCTTCCAACAGAATCTCTTTCATCCTCAGGCCTCTGTTTTGTCTCACAGGTCGAGACCGCAAAGACAGCGGCATGTCCAGTCTTTTTAGCTGAACACAACATTGTTTTATAAGGCGGGACGCATCCTCCACTTGACTTTGAGGGCGGCCTACATTTTCTTTGTGTCTTGTCATATCTCCCGAAAGCTCAGCTGTACCATTTTCCCAAGGACTCCAGTCAGTTTCATCAACCTTTAGCTCATGTGTGTCCGTTTTTATCTGTGTCGTATGAGGCAATGTTAAAGACTCCAAATGGGATGCACATGATAGCCCGTTATCCAAGATGTTGGCTCGTGGTTGTGTATTATCTGTGTCAGGTCCTTCTATGGAGGGAAGTTTGAGAGCCGAAATAATGCAGGCACCATCCAAGGAACCATCTGAAAAGAGAGAAAATATTGCAATAAAATAGTGGAACAGGCTAAACTGCGACACCCACAGTACTAACATATTATCACCCTATAAAGTTGTTGGGGCAAAGACACAGCAACACTAGAAATCATTTAAAACATTGTTTGTGTCTGATGAATGCTAGTCCAATATCATTTTAGCTCTGAGGAAAATATCTGGCTCTTTCGCTGCTAAATTCTTCACTCTGTTCACCAGCGAACTGCTAATGGTGTCTGTCGGCGTCGGCGCAAGAGCTTTTCCACTGAAAACAGCTGCCTGCTGCTGCTGGAAACAACACTGCGGCGAGAGTGAACTCAAACAGTAAAGTGGTGGGCCGTGAAACCAAAACAATGAGCTGAAATCAACTAAAACAGTCTGTAGAGCTGAGGTGACCTTCGTCAGGTGATAATAGTCTGCGTTGGTCACCATGAGCCACACCTTTTACACTAAACAGCCATCTGATCCACTGTTAATGGAAATAAATATTGATGCAGCTTTAATTAGACACTGTTTTGAGCATGGCTTTAATAAAATGCATTCTTTAACACAACAGATTGTGGACATATGCTAAACACTACACCCAACGCTGTGACAACGGTGTCACTGAAAGCTCGTGATTTTTTTATTTTCATAGTGAATTAATGCTGAAATTCCAAAAAAAAGGAATTTTGGACATCTTCAAACATCTTGGACCCTGGAACGTGAATTGAAAAAATAATTAGCCGATTAATTGATAGTGAAATTAATTGTTAGTTGCAGCCCTAATGCAGTCATCTTACAGTTTAGTCCAGTTCCCAATGCAGGGATCACATTTTGATGCGCTCACAATAAGTTTTACAGTTTGACTTGATTATTATGGTTTATTTTATTTGACTTAAAGTGTTAAGTGTCTTAAAGTGTGTAAGTTTAAAACATTTTGACTTCAATATGTTGTTCTCTGTAATTATCTCATCCTTAGGTATGCCAGTATCAAGACGACTCCACGAATGTGCTCTGGTATCTCAACACATTGTGCTATTATATGTTATTATTAATGTTATGGACAGAGCATACTTTCCAGCACCAAGGCAAAGTTCTAAGACAGGCCGAGTGGTGATGTTCTCTCAGAAAGTAAAATGGTAAAGGAAAAGGCTAAACTAGAATGGCAAGCCAAATAAACCCACAAATTACTGACAGACATTAGTAACTATAAAGGCTTGCCATTGTGATCCAGTTGGCTGAGGTCTTTTTGATACTGCAACAGGGTTCTGAGCTCCTCACGGCGAGACACGCAGTCCATGTAGTCCGCCAGAACTGAGGACGTCTCACTAAACATGGAGGCAACCTGAAAGAAATTAAAAGGAAAGGGAGGGAAAAGGTCAAAGAAATGGACCTCTATAAAAACAGCTAAATTCAAAGCTAGCTTAAAGTGATATCAAATTCCTGGTTTCACATTCTAATGTCCGTGTGACATTTTATGCCTATCCTATATGTATGTACCTGTTGGAAAGATTGAAGAGGAAGAAACTTTTCAAGTCTGGACAGAAACATCCACATCAAGGTTTGAAGTGCTTCATCATATGTGGGACCAAACTCTTCAGGGAAAACATTCTGAAAGAATATTACAGTTAGTTGAAAACTGCAATGAGAGACCTCATTAAGAAAGAAATACAGGATTTCATTTAAAGTACTGAATCTACATGACCTGACAGCTTTTCATCTTTGTCAAAAACTACAATGGAGGAAGTGTGTTTGTAGGTTCCTACCATAGACACACGGCCAAAACAAAAATCTTTCGATACATTCGTTCATTGCATCTTATATATTAAATCGGGATCTGCAGCACTGATAAACCAAACCAATTAAAAGTGGGACAATAACACTGACCTGAAAGAAGTGGT